TTTTCACTATCTGCATTTGTGGGCCATGGAGTGTTTGGTTTCCACAGCTTTATCCTCTCTTTCTTTACCTGCACAAGAGGTTCTCTATCTGTTGAGGACTTGAGTTTCCTTGGAACCTCTTATCCCTTGAGTCACGCTCACATGCATCTTTTACTGTGGACTCTACACAATCAGTGGAACCTCTCTGAGGATGTCTTTTCCAGCGCAGTCCCCCAATCCCCGTGTTTTCCAATGGCGTTGCTCTCATCTGGGCACTCCACACATTGATGCCTTTGCCACTTACAATAATGCCAAGTTTCCTTGATTTAAGTCTTCTGTTCTACATACATCTACACTAGTGATGGATGTGATCACCTTCTCCTTCCATTCCCCTTCTACTTGTGTTCTTCATGTGGTTTGTTTGCCAAGGCTAGTCTGTCTTGACTATTGCTGGTTACTGGATGGCTCTCTTGACTACTTTTCTGTTCTTCTAGCCTACATAATGGGTCCTTAGTGCTTTTCTTTATTCCCTTACCCAACTCCCCTTTGAACCTTTGACTTCCTGTTTCTTATATCATCTGTCCCTTAAAACTTATCTCCCTCTTCATTCTTGCCATTGGTTGCTACATTCTGATTTGTATGCTATTGATTCTTTTTGTGGAGCCCTTGCCACTCACCATTTCTTAGCTGCTGGGGTGGTGGACCATGGAGGATGCTGCCTGAATGTGACCAATTCCACTCAGTAAAGAGTAGAGCAGTGGTGTTCTGTCCATGTAGTACAGTTCATCTCTTTTGCTGACTTTACCCCATCCTACCACCACCCACAAGTTGGGTTCCCATGTGGTCTGGTATTGGATTGGCACCAGACCAGCCAACATAAGTCCTCATTCAATTGTAGGGCAGTTCTTACTTTTCAATCCTGCCTTACAGGGCTTGAGGTGAAGATTGTAGGGACTGTCATCCTACCATGGCCTGGAAGCCAAATTCCTGGTGCCACCTGGTCTTGGAATGCAGTTGACCCACCCTGTAATGTCTGACACACCTTAGTCACTACTACACATATAGCACATCCGAGAACCTGATGCAGGGTTTGGACTGTGCTTGTATCTTCTACCCATTCTTGTAGCACTACTTTTCTGGATGAAGAATGTACCCCTATATTGTTCTAATGTATAGAATGTTGCACTTCATGGGTTCTTTTTGGGGGCTTTCTGATTCAAGGTAAAATATTGCACCAGTCCCTCCACCACTTCAATGTGGGATTCTAGCTGGATGTTATATATCATATCAGAAGCTAAAATTTTCCAACACTGAAAATATGTTTCTGATAGATACTCACCTCCTTTTACACTTCCCAACCTTATCTCCCCTCTTCTGGTGCATCTTACTTTCTTGCCTATCTCAAAGTGAGGTTTGAACAATCAATATAACTGTGCTAGAAGGCAGTGTTGTACTTCTATTGGTGTACGGTTGTAGCATGCACATTTGCATGCAACAATGCAGCATTATCACATGGAAACATGTGGGATTAGGTGGAAGTCTCAAGGCTAGTGTAAAGCAAAAAAGTTTGCATACAGAGGGCAGCACTAAATTGGGAAAACTAGAAGTGAGTATCCATCAGAAATACATTTTTAGTGTTGGAAATTATTAACTTTCAGTTCTACTACATAAAATCAACACAAGCAGAGTGAAAGGGAGTATCAATATCCTAAATGCCCCCAGTTGGGAAAAATCTGTGAATTAAAACTAAATACCTGCCATGTTTGAAAATAACAATAATAAAAAAGTTAAGCTTAATTACTTGTATTCTAGCTTTTGTATATAGCTGATATCCTGACATTTTGATATTATTTGTTAAATTATGTAAAATGTACCTTCAGATGTCAAAGGTATATTGAGTTATTATAGATGTGATGACAAATTTCATGTTAATTATATACATATATGTATGTGTGTCATAATTTTCAAATCACCAAACAAAATTAGAAATTCAAATACAATGTAATGTAAACATTTTCAATGAATGTCCATACCAACTCTTTATAAATGTGAATTTTAAAATGTGCACAACTTGTAACCTTTTATGGTTATTCATTTTTTTATGGTATGTTTCAAAAAATTATTTGGATTTAGTTTGTTAATTTGAAAAAATTTAATCATCCTCAAAAACTCTTCCTTTTTACATTAAAATACAAATAATGATATAATTGAAGCTTTGGCATTCATATACTAAAGTAACATGTATCATATTTGATAGATATTACATAAAGTCGATACAGACAACAAATAAAATTAATTAAGTAGTGAAGGTTGTAGCAAAATTCTGCATACGTAAAAGCCATAAATATTTTTAAAAGCAAGGAAAGGTGAGAAAGTGCACCAGAAAGATGTCAAAGGTACAGAATATACAAGTTATAAACTCTAATGCATTTTAAATTAAATTAAAAATGGCTATATTTAATACTCAAGACTTGCAACATCTGTATTGTCCTTTGCAACACTAGTTTCATAGTAGTGGAGTTTAAAGCATAAGTAATATCTTGATTATGTTATTCCTGCAGCATTTTGTGCTTTATTAGTTTCAAAATCCATAACGTGTCTGCATGACATTGAGTAACAGTTCTTTCATTACTTTATAGTAATTATAATATCTCACACAATTCTATCATATAGTTTCAGTATTCTCTTTGCTGTCCCTGCACACACATATATATGTGATGTATAACTTTGTAAAAGGTTCTAACAACACCATTTTTTGCATTTTGATCTGGGTATATCTTGGTAATTAGCATACTGGATTGAGTATCAGCTAGTGAAATGCTTCTAAACATATTTCCACACTGTAGGTGTGTTATAAGAGTGAGAGCCAAGTCCTTGTAAGTGGTAGGTACTGCCCATTGGTTGCCCTCCCTCCAGAGAGTAGCTCAAGTTTAGGAACTATACCTAAATCTGGCTATTTAGCCCATGTGTCCCAAAATATGTTCCAGTACTCATTGCTTCCATGCGTTGGACCTGCTGTTTTGGGCTCACTCTCATTATATTTGTCTCACAATTTGTCATGCACTGGGGGTTCTCAACCTGGTGGCAGATTGCCTTTAACAGCCAGACAGGATTCTACCTACAAAGTGTTTTTTCACCCTCAGGTTTTTCGACTAGTCTCACTTTTTTCTGTATGCCTATCCTTTTCTTTCATATCTCTCTCCCCTGCCCTTGCTTTGATACATAACATTCCTTGTTGGGTTCTTTTGGTTGTATGCCTGACTGGAACCTAAATGGGGTTTTACATGCTCTTATGTATGTTCCATTCAAGCCGTTGGCTTCTTGTGCCTTATACCATCTTTCTTTGAAAACATAATTCCTTCTCTTTCTTGCCTGTGGTCATCATTTGGATGTATGTGAATTGTAGGCTAATACAGATATTAACATTTGTTATCGTTAGCACCAACTTAGCTTAGAAATATTTAATTTGGAGGAGCTATGTACCCAAAATAACTCCTATAATATATGTGTACAGTAAATGACTGTGCTGATCTAATAGCTGTTATATTATTGTGATCCCAACATCTTCCACAAATTGGCATAATAATGTATGTAGCATGGCCATATTAATTTGAATAGTATCATGATTAGTGAAAAACCACAGTAAATGGAAAAAAACTGTTAGAAGTTATGATATTAGAGAAACTAGTTTTGACACATTTATGCATTGCCTTCAGTCTCTTGTTGTCTTCTGGCAAGAAAACTGGTTAACAATGCCTGTATAATTCCAAAACTTTGAATTTCCTTAAGGACACAAGATGTCATAAAGTGAGCCTGAGAGGTGTTAAAATTAGGCAGGCTTTTGATTATGAAACTTTTGATGGTGATTCTTTTTATTTAGTTATTGTTTTGTATAAGATTCTTGTTGAAAGCCAATTTATTTGACAACCAGAATCTCTCATATGAAGGAAAGTGATTTGTTTGTGATCTTAAAGTTAATGTTTTTTGTTTTTTTTAATATCCAGAAACACATGTGTCAACACTTCTTCTGTTTTCACATGAATAACCTTTCTCACAGGATTGGCACGATATAATACAAATGTAGTTTTCTATCTTCAGTTGTTGGTCTATTTGAATTTAGGTTATTTTAATGGTGTTTGTATATTTGTCAACGTAATATGAATTGTAGTAGGTTATAATTGTGCTGACCTTTTTTTTTCATTTGAATTTGTTGATTTCATATTTATGATAGGCATAATAAATTATGGTATGAATTATAAGTGCATTGACCTGTCTTTATTTAGACATATTTTGATAATTTGTTAATTTATGATTTTAATTTATGACAGTTAAAGACTCCCCCCCCCTCCAAATTCGTGACAAATCAGCTCGTCTGTTTTTCTGATTTATTAGCATATGTCAACAATGGCATAAGTGGTTATGATTGTTAGTGCTCATAATATATGCTTGTGAAAATTGAACTACTTTGAAAGAACTAGGGAATTTTTTTTTTATGATGAAACAGTATGAAGTACTATTTTGAAATATATGAGCTGTTCTGTTGCATACTCTCTGAACTATATATAGTATTACCTGTGCAATTTATTTCAGTTTATTTTATATAGTTGAGAATCACTGTTCTATTTGAGTAACTTTGAAATTCATAGAATTGAAAAGAAACTTTTATGATTTATAATTTTGCATTTCATAAACTGTATCATCAACCGAATGATACAGATGTTAAAACATTAAGCAAAATATATATTAGTCATAATTGAATTCATTTAAAAAATTAAATGGAATTTTCTTATGGAACATACCAACCATGAACTGAAATTTGTAAGATTTGTCAGGAATCTGTACATTGGAATTTACTATATATTGATTGTATTTGAAACTGCTTTTGAAAGGTACCCATAGATTTTGTTGGTTATACAGTGTACACATATTGCATCAGTTTTATCATACAACACCATTTATTTCATCATGTTTGTCAGTAATTTAGGTTCATTGAATATTTTTTTCATTACTTTTATTGATAGATCCACAAAAAGGTTATTGATAAAGGTGTACCAGATGATTGCATGCCAGGTATTAAAAATGCCAAGGTAAGACAAGTTTTTTATCAATAATAATGTCTCTTAAAACACATCAAAGTAAGTTTTTACTGAATTACTATTATGTTTAAACACACATTTCAGCCGAATCTGTGCATACACCCTTTTGTTTCATTGTGTTTATAAAGTATGAGGTATAAACCTATGAGGTTTTGCATAAAGAAGTTAACAATATGAAAGTTTTAATATAAAAAAGATTTCCTTATTTTTGTCATTAATATAACACTTTATAATTATTTACATAAGCAAAATGTCAGTGTAACATGTATATTTGAAGTTTCTAAATATCCTCATGGGTATATATTCTTTAAATAGTAAAAATTTGTTGCTAAAAGGATATACCCACTTATAAAGTTGAGATGTGTGTTTAATCTTAATTGTTACCTATGGTTTTTTTTTTTTATTAGATTTAAGGATTGATTTCCTGCTTCACAGTCATTGTTTATAGTTTGTAAATTTACTTGTCTGTGCTGTCAGTAAGGTTTCATTAAAAGAAAAGTGTTAATGTGAATAAAAGAGCATGCTTAACCTAAGATCCCAATTAAGTCAAGTGGACTTGAATACATCATAGGAGAATGTGATGTTGTCCATTCTGATTGGTGTAAGATCTTAGGAAAGGCCAATGGTGGACAGAGCCTTAAAAAAAAAGAGAACTTGCTCATTCACAAGGTGAAATTAATGTTGTAGGAACAGCAAGCAAATTGCTTTTATTGTTTTATAAATGTAGTCATTTATTGAGGACCATTTTCAAATAGTTTCTGGACTAGAAAATGGTAGTATTACTAACAATGATGATGATGATATCATTCTACTAAAAGAATATTGAGCTTATTTAACTTTTTTTTTTATGAATGTATGGTAAGTTAACATAAAGTACACTTTTGGAAAGCCATGCCTTTTATTCAGTTGTTGAATGTTTATTTGTTTGTATATTGCTATAAAAATGACATTTTATTTTTGAGGGAAATCATTGTCTATTGTCTACATTTCTCAGTGCATGATGTTTTTGAAACCCTACCCAACAGATTAAGGAATTCAAGATTATTTTTAGTTAAAAACTAATAATATATATTAATCAACATACATAACTATTGACATCTTCTTGGAGAGTAATTTTTTTTTTAGATTTTCAGCACAAAAATTATATGTGGTAACACTTTTCCCATTTTTATATAAGATATGTTTATATGTATTATACAACAGTTTGTACCTGGTCAAGTAATCAGCTTTGGTTTAAATGATCTGTTTTATCATAATGCTTATATATGACAACTTTGTTAAAGAAAGTAAAATGTAATTACAGAAATTGTAAATGAATACTTTGATTTTCAGTTATCTTTTACTTCCTATATAGTTCGGGAAAAAATGGGTAGATGTTTATTGTCATCATGATTCCTATAGGTTTCCTATATTGGTGAAACCAATTGTCACGTTAAAGTACGAGCATGTGAATACATGGGCATATTATAAAAACTGGAAGAAAGGTTACAAAACCTCCCAACTCTGCTATCTATCAATGAAACAGGACATCTGATTTCACTCTGAAACTTTAAACTTCTTTCAACAGCCAAACATGATACTGAACTTCTTATAAAAGAAACATTACACATAAAAACATTTCTCCCATCCCCAAATAACACACAGTATTCACTGGATTTAAACCTATTTTAACTGTTTAACTGTGCCTCAGTTTTCATTTTCTCATCTTATATTTGTATATTCGATTTGTTTGTTTTGTAACCCTAGATTACTGCTGATGGAATTATGATGATTCTAAAACATCTAATAAATGCTTCGTGTTTTGTTTTATGGTTAAGCTACGTTTTCCAAAAAATGAGATGAATACTAGCTTTTTACCAACCCTGTCATATTTAAAACATAAACCATTTCAGAAACAGTATAAAATATATTACTTTTAATTGTCTGACAGCTGCAAAAAAGATTGAATATTGTAACTAATAAACACACTGAAAGTGTGGCATGTAAAAGTTGCTTCTTGAGAAGCTGATAACTTTTAGTTACAATTTATATTCTTGATTTTTATTTTATTCTTAGGGTGGAAATAATTTATCAAAACATGTTTGTGCATATTGATTAGATTGTGGGATTATTTGCCATATCAAAGGGGTGTTTTACATATGGTTGGCCAACTTGCATTATGCGTGTGTGTGTATATGTACACACATACGTTTAATATCGTATAACTGCCATTGATTCCAGATTTTTCTGAATTATTTTATCATAGATAAATTTTTTGGTTGAACTTTGCATTAAATATAATTTGACTTAAAACCAATTAAAGCAAAATATATTTTACTTATAATTAATTGTAATGATTTTGATAAGCAGGAAATATAACTTTTTAAGAATGGGGTTGATGAATATACTTCTTACTAACCATTGAACACCCATGAAGAAACTACATTATTAAAAATCTTTTTTCACATGTAAAACCTTTAGGAAAGCCTTCCTCCTTTTCCACTGTCTGGGATGGTGAATAAATCAGGTGGTAAAGTACGTCTAACTTTTAAACTGGAAGTAGATCAACTTTGGATAGGTACTAAAGGTATGGGTAAGTTTTGTTTTTTCTAGTGAAAATCTGACTCTTGGTGATTGTGGTAATGAAGATTTACAAAAAAGCCAACTTACAAGCAGAAGGCTTTAATTTTTTTACTTACCTTAAACATATTCCTTATAACCCAGTTATAAAAATTGAAATGTAAAAAAGCAACAAAATTTTTTGTAAGATAGATTTTCATATAAAAAGTAAACAACCCAAGCCAAGCTACCTGAATAGTTGATCATACACAACTTTAAATAGAGTATTTAAACATGCCCCCCCAAAAAAAAACAAAATAACAACCCAAATCAGTAATAACAGACTATACCACCACAATCTTTCTGAGATTCAGAGTATTTAAAATAATCTCCCAATAAAAACACTTATATTTTCTTTTCACACCCATCTTTAAGTTATTTGTGCATAGTTATGTTTAAATTGGTAATCTGATTTCATCAAAATTATGATCAAAAGTATTAATTTAAAAATAAAAAATCTCCTATTATTGTAATTCTAAACAGTGTCAAATCTTTCACCCAAAAACAAAAGAAAAAAGATTGTATGCTGAGGCTAAAAAAAACTTGATGTTGTAAAACTTATACCAGTATTTTATTATTGTTATATTTTTAAGTGTCATTGCTTTAATTTCTTTAAAAGTGACTATACATTGGAGAAAGCTATCAAGGAACCATGTCAAGACATTAGACATTAGGGAGACAGCTTAATATGTTATAAATTTTATTTTATAAATATCCACAGATATGGAATGTATGTTGTTGTTTTTTTTGTACCACAGAAATAAAAACTTACTTTAATGACCAAATCATTTATTTCACACCAGTTTGATCACTTTGAAAAATGTGTATGTGTTGTTGTTAGTCCAAGATCATTTTTATATGCTTTCTGTTATTATAGTTTCTGGTATTATTTTTCTTGGAGTTGACTTAGAGCATCATTTTAGTGATTAATATTGCTGAGTTTTTGTTTTATACCATTTGTAGTTTCATTTTAAGTTTTAAAATCATCTTTGAATTGTAGTTTGTTGGGTTATTTGTTTTATATCACTGTCCTATTAATTAAATTTGTAATTATTTTTGAATTTTCTTTGTATTATATTTTTTACTATTTTTTATAAGGAAATTCTTTTTTGTATAATGTTTATGGTTTATATATCATAATCTAAAATTAGTTAACAGAAATTTGGGTAGAAATACTGATTTTTGTTTTTTTTATAAATTCCAGAGTAAGTTTTCATTTTTGTGAATAATATAGAATGGACATTCATTCTGTATAAAACATATGTCATTGAGAAGTTTTGTGATTTTTCTAAAAGATTATTTAATCCTGTGGCTTTAGCCAAAATTATACTTTGTTTATGCAAGACTTGCTTCATTAATTCTACTGTCAAAGAAACATCATAAAATTCTTCTTTTGGAATTCTGGTAAATTTAAATGAATAGTAAATATTTAAGAAAATTATTAACATGACTTCTTAGTTACAAACTCTAATGTATTTCATATTTTATGGAAAATATTTCACTTTGATATGTATTAAGATGACTTGTGTGTTTTTGTTTTTACAGAAAGAACAGAAAAAGTTGGAATGAATTCTATAAAAAATGTTATTAGTGAACCTATTGAAGGTCATGAAGAATATCATGTAATGGTATGTCTGTTTTCTTTTTATAATACTCCTTTTTTTTTCTCTTGTCAGTATAATAATTTATTTCCACATTGTCAGGATTTTATGTATGTGTATGAGCAAGATTCTTTACAGTACATGTCTGTGAATTGTTGGCAATAAATTTCAACAATAAACAGACAGCACACAATCAACTTATTTTAAAATAATATATTCAAAACAAATCAAATGTATATACAGATATTCATTACACAGTTAACTCTTTCAGCACAGGTTCCATCCCTGAGATTAACCTCAATTGGAAGCTCAGAATGTCACCCTAGTAGCTTTCTCAGCCATTTTAATAGACTTAGCACGATTTCTTTCTTTTGAATCAATATTTCAACGAGGTAGGTTGTGTATTTAGTCTGGTCGAAATTTCATATATTTTTTAGACTAAAATACATCTTAGTCACTAAGCTTGATAAATTATTGCGAATTATATGGTATTAATGTTGTAATTTATGATTTTTTAGTTATTGAAATATTTATATAAAACTTAAAAAACATTGTTTCATATCCTCCACATGCAAATTTTTTAAAGGCTTAGCAACCTATGTCAAGCAGTAACCAAGTACAAAGGTCATAACTAGAAGAGATAATTGTTTACTTTACTTCTTTATTTACTGTTATATGTTTTAAGAAAAATAAGTTTAAGAACTTGATTCAAAATAGCAATAACCTATATACATATATAATGATTTTGTTGAATAAGACTGATGTCTGTAGGTTTACTTTCTTCTTGAAAGAAGAAAGTAAACCTACAGACATCAGTCTTATTCAACAAAATCTGCCTACAAGATAATCTGTCACCAAAGTACACCAACATATATAATGTAGAATATTTGAAATTTAGCTGTATTTTACAAAATACTAGTCTACTAAAACACAACCAAGACAAGTTACTTTGTACAGATCAAAGGTCAGTTTTATGTTATTTGATATGGTAACATGAGTGCACGTGAGCTACGTCATTGTAACTTCTGTATTGTTAGCCAGGCATAGCTGAAAGGTCAATACAATAAAAATAATAAATATGTATAAATGTATAATGTTATGAGATTTAAGCTATTTAGTCTAAACATATATGTTTCGTGTTATAATATGTGTTCATTCGAGAATGAAAGAGGCATGATTTATACATTTATTTCCAAATTTTTTATGGTGGTTGCGAGATCGGTCAGATCTGTCAAACCCATACAGAGATTAATTATTGAAAATAACAGATAAAATATTGTTTTTTCTTAAGAAACATTTGATAACTATCTCGACATTATAATGATTTTGCATGTGGAATTTCTGATGCATAAAAGTATTTTTTAATTTTAAAATAATATTTAAATAATTATTCATGATTCTTATTTCTCCTATTTTTGCTCCTTTCTAATTTTTTTCACATTTTGAAGAAGATTAGCCATCAAGTATGCACTTTGTCTCTTTTAGCTCGTACTTACTTGCTTATTTCTTTCACATTCTGAAGAAGTTTAGTCATCAAGTATGTCCTTTGTCTCTTCTGGCATGTGCTTATTTCCTTCACATCTTGAAGAAGTTTAGCCTACAATTTTGCCCTTTGTCTCTTCTAGCTTCTGATTATTTGCCCATTTATTTCACATTTTGAAGAAATTAACTGAAAGTTTTGTTACTGCTTTTTCATATACATGTTCAGGGTGATTGTATTAATTTCCAAGTTAACCTAGTTTACTAGCTGCATGTTCCATGTTCAATTTACCTTCTAAATTAGCCACTTTTATGTTTCTTTCTCATCACACAAACAACGTTATCTTGCATTATTTTCTAATTGTTCCTAGACTTTTTTTTCTGTGTTGTCTTGACCTACATTTTCTCATTTATTTTATTTAATATTTTACTCTCAGTGGTTCAGAATTACTTTCTGCAGTTTTAATGTTTTGACCTTATCTAGCTTGTAACAATTATGTCACTCATCATTTTGCATAAGAATTTGAAAAGGCTAAGGTGATATTATTCTAAGACATACTTCCCTCCTCTCACACTTACAGCTATTACTTGACTGCCAGGATTTATTCTTTTTCCCATCTAAGCATTGGTCTGATTTTTTCTTGCTTGCTCTGCTTTTATACCCCACTTAATTGCCCTTGGCAATATTTGTGTTTTAACACACTCCACCTATGTTAGTGTGCCCTCTATCCTGATACTGCTTATAAGTACTTCATTCAGATAATGTTATCACTTTTTCCTCGATAAAGCACCACTAACGGGTTTCCTAGTACTATGAGATACGTTGAATTTTTTCTGTATTACCTAGTTGATTTTTGTACCCCCCCCCCCAATTCGAAAGCTAACTTACAGAATGAACTTTTGAGACTATCAAGTGGTGATCTCATTCATATCTTATTTGTAGTGAGATGGAAACATATATTCAGTTCTGGTGATCCTTGACATTCTGAAGAGAATTTAGAATAGTTTTTTTACTGCTCCTTGTTTTAGTACATTGACTTTTACAGCTCCCCCTGTGGGAAAGTGGTGAGTTTGTGGACTTGCAGCGCTGGGGTCCGGGGTTTTATTCCCTGTGGTGGAAGTGGCTGATAGCCCAACGTTGCTTTGCTCTAACAAAACAAACTTGTTGTTCCAAATAATGGTAATCAACACAGTCTTTAAATGACATTTGAAAACAAAAAGGAGGCCACTTTGAGATAAGCTGCCTTTGATTTATTTTCTTCTGTTGACTAATCAAGAGTGTGATGTTTAGGGACTTTCTCCAGTTGCTTTTAAGTCTGCACCTCATTTGAGGGCTGAAAGGTCTGGGAGAAAATTGTTAGTTTTCTCTCTATCCACAGACATTGTTGTTAATGCTTGGAGGTTTACTTCTCAGTTACATGAGCACAGTTATGCCTTATCTGGCATGGTTGTCCGAACTTCGTGATTTAGTCTACCACTGCCAGGTGGAATCATTTTCCAACTCTCAAATAATACATCTGTGACTCGAATTTTGGAGTTCTAAGGTGAAGTTTGTAGTTAACCTGAATAAATCAATGTCCCCTGATGGGACAGGGTAAATCTACAGACTTACAACTCTAAAATCCAACATTTTGTTTTCCTTTCACTTCACTTTCTTGGAAGACTCTCAGGATCACCATCTTCCTTGATGGTGAGCTGTAACCGTTATTAGCATGCACATTGGTTCAAGTGTTGGCTTCTACATTCATCCATATTGGTGTCTTGAATTTTACCAGCTCCTACAGGGGTCATAGTTCTGCCCCTATTTATGGGCCCCAATCCCTGACATCAGATCCTTGGTACATTGGTACCCAGAAAAGATGCTGTCTATATCCAATTGTTCTGCTCCTTGGTCAGATCACCACCAGTGGTTGTGGTGATTATTGTATACCTTCTGGGTCTGTGGGTGCTTGGCTCTGAGAATTTCTGAATGTGAGGTAATCTTAGCCATGGATCCAGGAGCACTGCAGGTCCTTGAGTCAGGATTAATCATTCAGTTCACATCTTTACCACTGTCATCCTTTCACCCTGTAGGGTTTCCATCTCCAAAGGTTTTATTTGTGTCAGTTGTTGGGCATATGAAAACAGAAGATTTGTGTCCAGTCATTGATCTTTCTTGTCTATATTAATGCTTAGATTCCCCAAGGTTCACAAGTTATTTGTTCCTCAATCTGAGTTGAAATTTTCTACTGGGATTTTGGATGTCAAGTTTGTTGTAGTCTGCTTCTATCTGCACATTGCCATAGTGGCGGTATTCCATTACTATCAGTGTTTTTGTGCACAAGGGTCAGGTACTGCAGTTTCAGGCTTTTACCTTTGGACTTGCTTCAGTTTCACGATTCCTGCCGTATTGTACAAGTTTTTTTCTCTTCACCTTCATTTCATTGCACTGTACGCACACCATTCCATAGACGACTGGTTACTGCTGGCACCATCTCATCAATTGTCAGAACATCATATCCTGATTCTACTTTAAAAAAAACAAAACAAGGCAGGCTTCATTCTCAGGGCTGAGGCATCTATTCTTGCTCCATTTCAATATGTCATCAGTCTGGGTATATTTTATGCTCCACACTATGAAACAGGAAGCCCGACTCTTACTCTCCTTTTCCCACTGAATTGGGGGTTCTTTCTCTTCTGGAAATGTAGGTATCACTCAAATCCCTCATGCATTTGGGACAAGAGCACAAGAAATCCGATTAATGGTCTTTATGCAACCAAGGGATCATAAGCATTGATTCACTGGATTCCCCAGTGTCCTTAGTTGGGATCATTCTTTAACTTGAGGGGTTAAGTCAGGACACTACTAAGATATAGGTTCCTCATCCAGAGTTCCATCTCTTCATGCATGCCTTGCTTCAGGGATGGGATGCATATACCAACAGTCAGGAATTCCATAGTCTTCACATTGACAACAAGGGTTCCCTACACAATGTTTTATTCCTTCTTGCTCTTCAAAAAGCAATGCCTCATGTTCTGGGCTTATGAAAAGGAAAGTCTTTAGGCTTCACAATTTCATGATGGTATCTTGTGTTTTTCATCAAGGAAGGACTTGGTCCAGGGCTCCTAGTTTTCGAATCTTGGACCGCCTTTCCCAGGACCACTCCTATCATATCACCCCACTAGCTTGCCAGGTTCCATGGGTGATGCCTGTGGTAGTAGATCAATTGTGTCAATCCAAACAAATTCTCCCAGCAGAATAGATGCTGCATTGCAAGGTTCTGTTGGATTGGCTCTCATTTTGCAGCTCTAGTTTGTGGGTTGGTCTCTCGTTGGAACACCCAACTACTGGCAATTTGGTTTCCAGTACCTCACTTCTCACTTTTGGGTTTTGGCAATGGATGCATTCCATCAGAACAGGACGGGATTATAACTCTAGGCCTTCCCTCCAATTCATATGTTACCCAGGGTACTAAATATGATTTGTTTCAATCATTGTTGGGTCCTGTTGATAGCATCAGATCGGCAGCTACACCCTGGTTTCTGTTACTGCAGTACCTTCCAGAGTGTCTACCTCTTCCAGTTCTTAGGCCATCACTGTGGAGGCAGCCACGACCTAACATTGTACAGTTGGCTATTTAGAAGCTGAAACTTCAGGCAAAGAGGTTATGCAGTCTTTCGCACAGCATCGGGGTTTAATTTCTAAGTTTGTCATGTATCTGTCACAATCTTTGCATCTTCCACAATCACCCTTTATAAGATGGTCTTATCAACTACTGTTCAATACTTGGAACAAAATATTCTTTGAATCCCCAGCATTCTGCAGGGGGTATTTTTAGTCCATCGACCCTATTGGATCATTAGGCCATTTTGCAGTGCTACCACTTGGTTATTTCGGTTTAAGGCCTATCGATTGTCAGGATCATTAAGGCTATCAGAGTATTGAGGCTCCTCACCATTAGTGAATATGTGTGCAGCTGAAATAATGAAGTGTGCAGCACTTGATATTTTGTTGTGCAGCCAGGTAGCTTGGAGAGTGTAAAAGTGGTTTTTAACAAGTTAATTGCACAAACATTAGACTGAAAACCAGACAAGTGTTTAATTTTCTGCTACTGGTTGAAATAGGCTCTATACAAATGAGGTATTCCATAAGATCACTTAGAGACTCACTGGGTGCTATTATCGTTACTATGCTGGACTGCCACTCATGGACTATCATGAGTAAAGCATAAGGGGATTCTGTCCATCCCTGCTGATCATTGGATTGAATAAATTGGTGCAGGTTTGCCTCTACAAATGTAGGAAATTGGTTCACCTATTGCACTGTTTCCAGAACACTTTTCCTAAGGGCTCCCCAATGCACAATTACACCCCATATTTTACTAGTGGAGTTAAGGAGTCCTTACCACACCCAGTTTCCAGTCACTGGGCTGATGGACAGTGGCTTTTTTTCCAGAGTATTAGTGTGAATTCCTCCACTCTTGGATAAAAGGGCAAAATTGGGGTCCCTCCTACTTATGTCCCTGGGTGTTTATTTCCCAGATGTAGGTAGGATCAGCACCAGCCAATGTGGGAGCCTACTCATAATACTGGTTCAGATTTTATGCTCAGCTAATCTGTTAAAGTGTGCTTGGCCCTTCTTTTTGTTCCATATTGGTTCAGTACATTGTTCACAGAAGAGGGTCCACTGTCTCTTCGTAATTCCAAAAGCAGAGTGGTCACATCCTGGGTACTTGGTTGAAAACAGTTTGTTCCACTTCCTCCCTATAATTCCAGGGGCATGTGGAACTTACCTTGCCCACATGGTTGAGGAATGAGGATGAATGATCATAATTCCAGACCGGATGAGTTCGATTTCCTGAGGTTGAGTAAGGCATACATGATCCCGTCATTCTGAGCCTGGGGCGTTGCATTTCAGTCTTCTTCAGGTTGAGGAGAAGGTTTGTCTGCTTCAGTGTTGTTTATCTCTTTGTCGTGATTCCAGTGGCTCAGAATGCATCACTCTATGGCTACAGGTTGGGATCTACTTATAAGTATATATATACATTGTAGTTCAATTGCCCTACCCACCAACATGGGATAGAGGGACCATGGCCCTATAATTCCAACCACGAGTAATGGAACCTTGGCTATCTGGTTGGGGCCTGGACAATAGTGATGACAAATCAGATAAAATTCCACCCACAGTACATAAATTAAGTTTCGGGTGAAGAGCATACCTGTTCTGGATGTAGTGTCAATCTTCTATTGACACACTCATGATCTATGCAGACACTTTTTGTATGGATAATACCCTCACCAGCCTCTCCACCTTATCAGTGTTGGATCCTAGCTGTACGTATGAAAGGAGGTATGTATGTTTGGAAGTTAACACTTTCTTAAATCAAAAATATATTTCAAATAATACGTACCTCTATTCACACTCTCCTGCCCTTCCTCCCCACTAAGAGCCAGTGTTAGAGACTGGAATTGAGTCAGTTTCAAAAAAGTGATAACATTATCTGAATGTGGTGCTTATATACAGTACCAGGATAGAGGGTGCTTTGACACTGATGTAGAGTGTCACAAAACCAATATCGCTAAGGGCAGTTAAGTGGGGTACAAAAGACTGGAGCAAGTGAGAAAAAATCAGACCAATGCTTAAATGGGAAAAGGAAGAAACCCCGGCAGTCAAGTAGTAGCTATAAGTGTGAGAGGAGGTAAGTATTATTGGAAATACATTTTCACTTTCAGAAAATCTTAACTTTCTATATGTAGTTTCTAAAATTGTAGTTTTTATCTTATTAGTAATGCATCAATTTATAGCAAACAATTGTGTATTTAATCATTGATGAGCAATTTTTAATTGCTATTGTAATTGGCAAGCTTAGACATCCACTGTTTTACTGAAAATTGCTTACCAGTACCTCACCAGGGCTGTAGGAAGCAGTGAGGCCATGGCCTAACCACTTTTTCATGCATGTATAGCTACAACTTATGTATTAAAACTTTCTTATTTTATTTCAATACATTATGTTGTGTGTATGCAGTATTTGTAGTTAAAATGGTTCAAGATTCAATCCCATAGCATTCAATTTTCAAAAATATTTGGGTGGGGGCATGCCCCTACACACCCCTAAAAATGGCATACTTTTCACACATTATTTGTTGTGGCAATGGACTGACCACTGCAGAATTGCTTCCTACAGCAGTGTTCACAATAATCAGGTTTTTGTTTTGAAATTACTAATTAACAACTTCATTACATAAAAAAATGTTTTTACTATAGTTTTCACTCTTCTGTATAAAACAACTTATTTACTTGCCCTCTAGCTTGAACAGAAAAGTAAATACTTCAAAAGTTAAAAGTAAGAAAAACTAGAACAAATACTGTCTGCTGAAAAATTTAATGTTTTGCATATATAGATTATTTAATTTTAACTAACTGTTAAGCTTATAAGATTATTAAAAATGGAAAATATAAAATTACTCTATAATTATATAAAAAAGACGGTTATTTAAAAGTATGTTACATAACTTTTACAAAAAATTGTTCAAATTATATATTGTTATGTAATGGTATGAGTAATCTATTTGACATCATTACAGGTAAATTTCATGAGACATTTAAATCTAATTTTAAAATATACTGTTTTCATATTGTTTGTTTAACTGATATACAATCTAATGTGGTCATAATTTTATAATCATGTTGTTTAATCATTTAGGATTATGTCACTGCTATATTTTAGGACACAATTCAATGTACATCAAGAATTTTATGGCCCAACTTGTGTGTTATAGTGTGCTGTAACACAATATCAATACTTTGACCCTGTAATAAAAACTAATAATGAAGAAACTCTTTTTGCATCTGGCAGGTTTGTATTCTGTATACAAAAATACTGTAGTGACATCTTGCTATTAGTTTGTTACTGGCATATCCTTTCATGGTTTCAGTATTGCAGGTTTTCAGTTAATATCTAAATATGGTTAAAAGATGTTATCTACTTGAACATATGTCATTAACAGTTCTCTATATTACACTATAGGGATTACAGCTTGGTCCAACAGAAGCCTCCAGGTACTGGATATATTGGGTTCCAGCACAGTATGTGGATGCCATTAAAGATGCAGTGTTAGGGAAATGGCAGTATTTTTGACTGTTTATTGTGTTTAGCTATTATTGTACAGTGTAATAGAATTTCTTTCTTGTATACAAATCTGGTGAAAAAAAATACTGATTTAGCAAAAGAAAAGACACAATACTCAAATTCAGTTTGCCTCAGAATTATCTACTAGTAAAAAGTAAAGTATTTTTGCAACTGTTCTTTCAACACACTGCATAACAGCTATATTCATTTATTCCTCCCACAAATTACAAGGTTTATTTAATTAATGAAACAATTGACACATGATATACCTGTTAGGAAAAGAAAAGCAAGCATTTATCTAGATTTATGATCTAGAAATTATATATAAGTTTTAGACAGATTGTAATTCTTTTAATTAACTTAAAACATTTTGTTTGTTGCTGTTCTGAATTTAATATTGGAAGCTCGAAAGATCTTCAATTTAAAGCTGTCTTCAGGATTTAAAACCTGTTCTGTAAAGCCACAGTGTAATGAAAAACTTTTTACAACTTTGATATCAGTGTTGTGTGAGTACTTACTTTGTTTTGTGATATTTTTTTAATATAGCTTAAATGCATAATGTCCCAACTTAGTATATGTGAGCCCACTATGTGTTCTTTGCAAAGAATGATAAAGGATATGTCAGTTGCTTACATATGTTTTCCTTATGTTAACATTTTAGTGAAACATAAATCCAAAACATATTTATCAAAGCAAAATTGAAGATATCAATGGTAAAAACACATGGAAACATATTCAGAATTACAATAGATCAATATAACTTGGACTACTGAAAAACAGAGACAGAATAATTTTACTGTCTCACTACAAACACTTACATTGTGATAACTTTGTTCAGATAAATATTTAAAACCCAAAATGTTTATATACAACATACAATTATTTTTATATAATGTTTTTTATTTATTTGCCTATCTTGAATATTATGAGAAAATTCTGGAATGTTTGCTTTGTAGTTAGATCTGTCAACTATTGGACGTAACTCACATTTTAGGAAAGACTCAGTTGTATATCAACTGTAATAGAAGTTCCAGCAATTTACAGCTAAACAGACATACTGACATCTGCTGTCACTTTATGTAAAAATTGCATTTACCATAGTAAGGATATTTTAAATATATGTGCTTAGTTGAACATACATACTTTAGATATTGTAATACTTTCTTTACAAGTTTGGTGTCATGTGCTTAGTTGAACATACTTTACATTTTGTACATCTGCTCTCTATTTAAACTTGTCAGGAAACAATAAGTACTTAACCTAAAAACTTTAAACAGTAGATATTAATGTAAATGTTTTGAACTTGCTTATCACTATGTAAATGATATAGCTAGATCCTTTTCACCAGTAATAAATCATTTCTTATCCTTTTCTAGACCAATCATACACAACCAAAAATGGTATACTTAATCTAGATTGCTGATAAAAAATAGGTCAGAGAGAGGTTTCAAGTTAGATTGTAGACTCACTTCACCCTAACTCCTGCATTATGTAAGGCAAAATGCATGCCCCGATTTTAGTTTTATTTAAACTTTTTATATATAAGTATTCAGTTTTTTTAAATCATAATAAATAATTAAAAACAACGTTTTATATTTACACAATTCAATACATTGAACAAGGGGGAAAGTATAAAATAGTCTTGTAAGTCACACCTGAGGATGACGTAGATCACGTCAAAACATGTACTTGTAGAGAGATATTTTAAAGTGGAAGCCATACGGCTTCAATAAAGTTTTTATTTAATAAAGTGCCGGTAGTTCATATCCAGAGTTTGTCTGTATTTAATGTATAGACAGAGTACATTAGTAGGGACTTGTGGTTTGATTATTGTCAAATATGTTTTTACTCCGAAATTGTTTTCTTAATACTTTTCCATTACAAGCCATCTGGCTCCACCATGTATACTCCGGACTTGTTGCAACTAATGAGATTTCAGGTTACCAGATAGGGAGTTTTGGAAGCTTATATTTATCAGTGTAATTAGAGCCTGTGATAAACATAAGCCAGATTGGTCTTCCATCCTTTGTCTGTGTTCTTCTCTTTTTCAACTAATAATATCCGAAGATAAAACAGTAATTTTGTGACAACAACATAGCTTTCACCTAGTTCAAGTCTACTTTTTTCAAGGTGAAAGTGCACGTTTGAAGATAGCTGCCATCCAGTGGCTAAGAAAGGTGATAGGATTATTCCGTACTATCTATTTCAGTACAGAAATAATGAAATGTCACATCCACATCATGGAGCCTCAACATTTTGTCGTTATGATGGAGTCTTTTGAAAAGGAAAGTACGCTGTAGGAATATCAAGATACTAAGGTCATCAGATAGAGCATGATTGGACACAATGACATGAACTATTACAATGTGGTGACGCTTCAAAA